AGCGAACGCTTTGTGGATTCCTCCATGCGTAATCCAGCTCACGGTGACCCCATTCCTGCTGTTAGCCTGGCCCGCATGGTGATTCCTCCGGAGGTTTGGCGTTTCATGGCCAGCGAGAACGCTTTGAAAGCAGGCGAGGCAAATCTGGCCTTGAACTGCTTGCCATGTTTCTGGTTCACCATGCCCAGGACATAGGGGTCCACATGTGTGAGATAGAAAGACCCGCTCAGCCTGTTTGGCGCCACCGATTTGGCGGGGCAATTGTTGGGAGTCTACTGGGTTTCCGGCAGGGTCATGACAGGAAGGGCATCTTTGATGTGATCTCTGCCAACAACTTCTTTGGTAGGGTAGATCATCCAAGACCTAGGTGACTTCAGCAAATTTGTTTCCATGTACTAAAACCACAATTTATACGAGGTGATGGCAGTTGGTTCTTGCTCTCCTCAGGCATCTGGTACATGTTGCCAGAGGTTGAAGTCAATGCCTCCACCAAGATCATGTTGTTCCTTTGGACGTCCTGGTCGAAGTGCAGCTCATATACCCCCGACATCCCCCGACCAACCTAAAGGACACCGGTCAAGCCTGACAGAAAAAGACGTGCGTAAGTTGATCCGCTCAAAAGCCCGGGAACCCTAGAGTGGAAGCTCCCTAAAAGCGACACCGACACGAGATCGAAAGAAAGGTTCTTAACTATAGACTTTCTCAGATTTGATTTATTGCAATCAAAATTGTGTGCAAATGGCTGCAAGAAATCCATCACCCTCGATCTCTATCTCTCTCTCTCTCTCCCTCTCTCCTTCTTTTCATCCTTCTCTTCTGGCTTCTCTTCTGGCTTCCCTTTTGTGTGTTCCGGCTCCTCCTCGATTGTCTTTGGTTTTGCTGCTGGCCTCCTTCCAGCAACCTTGCGTCGCTTGAGGACTGTCTTGTCATCCTTATCTTCAACTTCCTCGAAAGCCTGGTCCAAAGAGCGCTTGGCGTCAGAAGCCGAAGCTTGGCCAGTTTCACCGCCACTCGAGTCTTTTATGTTCTCCTTCTCATTCTTCCTGCCGCGGCCTCTTCCTCGACCTTTGCTGCCACCTCCTCCCCTGCGCTTCTTACGGACAGGGCTGGCCTCTGAACCAGAACCACGGCCTCTCTCATCTTTCATTTCTCGGTCAACTTTTTCCAGCTCTTCTTGCATATCATCATTGTCGTCTCTTTGGTTCTCCTGTGCTTTTTTCATCCCCTTCCCCCTTCCCTTTCCCTTTTCACACTTTTTCTTGGCCTTCTCAAGCTCTTCTTTTTTCTTATCTTCCTTTAGTATTTCACGACGGGCTCTTTGATCCTGGCTGATGAGATGGGATTGGGTGGCAAAACTTTTTTAGAACAACAGCAGTGTAAAGAAGGCAGAGCACTCATACAGGGAAATGATTGCGGGGCCTCCAAAACCTGCATGGCAATTTCTTTGATCTCCTTGGAGTCCTCCGGTGTCACGACCAATGTTGGGAGTTGAGCAAACAAAGCCTTGGTGTCCTGCCAATCGATGGAGCAAGACAAACACACAGCGCATACGAAGACAAATTCATTAAACCAAAAATACATGGGGTCCATTGAAACCCGAAATGGCCTCAAGACGATTGAAGAAATACCTTCAACTCAAGATGTATGGGCACGGGGTCCTTGTAGGTGCCCTTCTTGTCATCCTTTTTGTCCGTCTCCGACATAACCTCCAAGTCGTCAGTGCACCCCTCCAACTCCACATCCAAGACTGCCAGGATGATGCCCTGCAACTTTCGCTTGTCTTCTCCTAGAAGGAAAGGTAGAAGGTCTTGGATTTGATGGACAAGACTTGTCGCCCGCGCAAACACACCAACAGAATCTTCCATGGGATTTGCACTTGAACCTCTTTGCCGTGCCGCCTCCTTCATAGCATCATTCTTTGCCTTCTCCTCCTCCTCCTTCTCCGCTGCCCTCTTCTTATTGTGTTTCTCATCCTCTGCCTTCTTCTGAGCTTTGAGCTCTTCTGCTTTCTCCTCCTCTGCTGCCTTCTTCTTCTTCTTCTTCTCAATCTCTTCCTCCTTCAAAGCTCGGGCCTTCTTTTCTTCCTCTGCTGCCTTTTTCTCATCCTCTGCCTTCTTCAATTCTCGGGCTTTCTCTTCTTCCTCCGCTTCCTTCTTCATCTTCTTCTCATCCTCTGCCTTCTTCAAGGCTCGAGCCTTCTCTTCTGCCTCTGCTGCCTTCTTCTCATCCTCTGCCTTCTTCAAGGCTCGGGCCTGTTCTTCTGCCTTTGTTGCCTTCTTCTCATCCTATGCCTTCTTCAAAGCTCGAGCTTTCTCGTCCTCTTCAACTGCCTTCTGCTCCTTGTTCTTTGGCGTCTGCTTTTTTGGGGGGTTCTGTTTTTCCTCCGTCACTTCAACTTCTGGATCGTCGCAGTCTGTTTCTTCCTCCTCTTCTTCTTCAATCAGCAGAACTTCTTCATCACTTGGAGTCTCTTTGGGTTGGTCCTGGTCTCCCGCAGCTTCTTTGTCGGCCTCGTCAGCAGCCTTCTCCTTCTTCGGGGTTTCTTTCTTCATCATTCGAATAGACTTCGTGCGACCCTTCACCCCATGCTCCTGGGAGCAGCCACTGCCGGGAGATCCAGAAGATTGTTAGTTAGTTTTTTGAACCACTCACTCACAAAATGGGACACGTGCACACTATCCTCATAGATCATTGTGATCAGCTGCTTTAGCTTGTGAAGGTTCCCGGTCTTATTCCTGAAGAGAAAACACAAGATGTTTAAAGAACATGTTGGGCTCTGATAGCCACTGCCCACCTAGCGTTGGAAGTGCGACCGTGTGAAGCGAGAAGTTTGCTGGCCAGACATCTGTGAAGATTGCCCTCGGTTGTCGCCCATTCCTCAAAGCTGATGTTAATTAAACAGCTTGAAGGCTTGAAGGAACAAAGCATTCCTTCATTCATGAGTTGACTAGTGGCGGTAATGTCATCGACGGTCTTTTCGTCCACAAGTTTGAACATACCAGCTGTCCAAATCAAAGCATCCTAGCGCAGAACTCTGTAACAAGGCCACTGAACAAGTAAAGGACGTCTTAACACCCTGGAAAAGCTGGCCTTGCGTTCACGTTCAGTGGGAGGGTCCATCGCGAACAATGGCAGCCATTCCAGGGCAAACCGAGTATTGGCATCGCTTTCCATCTGGCAGAGCGGGCGCGAAGATGTCCAAGTCTCACGAGTCCAAAATAGCATGAATGTGTTTTTGAATTGACAGGCCAGAGGGGCCTGCTCTTCTCTCAGACCTTTTTTGCCAGTATCAATAAACGTGAACTCGAATGGTGGTGCCTGGCAGGCCCAAGCAAGGGTAACACATTTGAGGGTTCCCTTTTGAAAACCAAACCGGCTGGAATGACCTTTCCATCCCGAAGAGCCCTTTCAGTCTTTGTCACTGAGTGATTGCCCTTCTTGCGCAACTCCTCCATCCGGACATGCTTGTGATCCTGGAGATAGTCCGAGTAGAAGACCTGCACACTAGATTTTGAATGTTCTTGATCAGATTTAAAGTATACAAGATTTGAGCGGATCAACTCTGGTCATTTCCCCCTCGTGCATGTGTATATGTGTGTGCGCCTTCAAAAGCTCGATCCTGTGCTGGGCAGGTCGTGTCGTCGGCATCGCTGCAGTGGAAACCAGCACGCCACAAAGCTGTGTGCATGCAGATTGGACCGGGTGTGTCGAGTTGCGAAATTCCTAGTGGTCCTATGCGGTGGATTTACCAATTGGTGAAATGTTCACAGCTCGGCTGGCTTGAGAGAAGATGCAAAGGTTGGAACAAATGACTCACTCCACTGGCTAGTCGATGGTGGAAATTGTCAGGTCCCCTGTATCGCCTGTATTGTTTTTTTTGGGATATTGTGACGACAATTGCCATCCTCGACCTTAAGTGATCAGCAAAACACCGCAGGAAGGATTCGCACCTCCACCTTCACTAGCGAGCCCTGAGCGCGAAGGGACAGGGAATCTAGAATCTTAAAAGTATAGTGGAATACACAAAGGAAAAAACTCAGCCTCAGGCTCTTTCTAAGGGCCTTCTTCATAAGATCATGATCGATCCACTTTGAGCCAGCTGCTTCTTGAGATGGAGCTCAATACAGCCCGTACAGAGATACGATGTTTAGCTAGCTAAACATAGTATTAGGGAGATGCGATGTTAAACATCAACGTTGAAGGCTAGGGTATATGTGATGTATTTATATATATACTATACTATTATGTGTATATATATATGTATACAGTATAATTGAATTACTTTGATATATGTATGCATGTGTATAACTATATACATAGTCTTTCTTGTTCTCTCCCAATGAAAGAAACCGTGCAAAGAGTCTGAGAGCAAACATAACAATAATGGTAGCGTCCTTGCTCCTAGTAGCGATGCCCGTTGTTCCTAGTAGCTTCTTGCTCCTAGGAGTAAGGCCAGGAGCTACTAGTAGCGTCCTTGCTCCTATGTGGAAGGGGATAGTGGGGAAAACTTGATAAAACTGATTTGTCTCGCTCAGGCCTCTTTGAAGTTGTGCAAATGATTTGGAACACTCATACACTATAAAATATATAAGTGTCAATAATGTATTAGTTGCAAAATGACTGATGCAACTAAAGTATCTGCTGTTGCAACAAGAGCTGCTCATGCACTCTAACCTGACGGGCTTTCCTGGTGCATTCAGGGCAGCTCTGGTTGCACAAAAGAACATGCAACGGCAGCAAGAATCATAGTTGGATGGCAGGACAACAACCATTCAGCAGTACTTTTGAGATTCCCTTGCCCAACTATATATATATATAACTACATAAAGTGTAAGATTGGTCATCCTGTTCCTCAGCTCTTGATCGGAGTGCCCCCCAGAAACTGAAAAAAATAGAGAACACACACAATACATGCATCCACATCAGTCAGGTCGTTGCTGCGCAGGTGAGACAAAAGCGCTGAACCGGTCACGCCGAGCGCTTCGACCATCTCTCCGGTCCTACTTCGTAGCAGTAGGTGTGCGTGTCGTAGTTGCAGTTCAATGGGCCTCACATTGCCCATGGCAGCCTCTTGGCTGAGCAAAACCCTGTGGGTAACACTTACCTGACACATGAGTCGGTCGACAAGGATCGAGGACACTTCAGGAACAGCATGAGTGTTCAATAGTGTTCATCTGGGTGTGGCAGCTGGGGACTTTGCACACTCCCTGAAATAATCATCATGGCAGTGGAAAATCGTCTGCTTATTGTACTATATCTATATAGAGGAAAATGGTCAGCCATCAACATCCATCAACAATTAAGTTCCAACATGAAGATCATTGGAAAGCCATTGCTTCTAGGTTGGATGCCATTGCTAGGAGGTTGAAGGCCATTGCTAGTAGGTTGGAGACCATTGCTAGTAGGTTGGAGACCATTGCTAGTAGGTTGGAGGGCATCACTATAAGGGGGAGGCCATCGCTATTATTTCAGAGAGTGGAAGATCAAGCAACATGAACTCCATCTCGGGCGTTCGAGTGGCAGCCATCGGGGTAGTAGACCTTGGGGTAGCATTCGTTCACGCCCGCGGCATCCTGGCTTCGAAGAGCTTCGAAGCATCCGAAGTGGTGAGATCCAGTGAGAACCAGTGGAGTATATAGGGCCAGTATCCCTCTTGAATGAGGAGCTGGCTGTGGATTTTCATTTCATAAATAATTAGTGGTATAAAATGTAAAACCACCTAAAATTCACTATAAAATGTTAAACTGCTGGATTTATAGAATGTCAGGACGCTACACGCCAAATTCAGCATGGCGGAGCCCGCTGCTTATAGAATGTATTGACCCACTGCGAAAACACTCAAACATTAAGGAATGTTGTTTATATAAAATGCATTGACCCACTTCCAAACACGCTCAGCGGCCCTATGTGGCCCTCTTTTTTTTCAGCAATTCGTCTGATGTCTTTCTGACGGCTGTTGTCTTTGTCTTTGTCTGGTACCCATGGCCAAACCCACATCAGGCAGAAGGAACACTCATGAAAAAAAACAAAAATATTCAAACATAATCAAACATAAACATTCAACATGTGTTGAACCACAAAATAGGCAATCCATGGCTTGTGTCTACTCCAGAAATTGGTGTTTTACAGAATGCATTGACCCACTGAAATATGATCCACTTCTTAAGGAACAGACCTTTTATAAATTGTATTGATCCTCTGCTCCAAAACCTTCGTTTTTATGATGGACCCCCAGTCTGGGACTATAAAATGTATGGTCGGAAAACATTTTGTAAGGGAACAGGATCGACATTTCATAGTGTCTCATTCAGGGGGGATGGGCCAGTCGACCTGGCCCCGTCGGTAGGGGTGTCTAAAGTGTCCCTACCATATAGGAGCTTCTGACATTCTTGGTAAAAAAACCTAAAAAGCCAAAACGACCAGAACTCTTGGTGTATGGAAACTGGTGGTCTCCGCACGACTAGCATCATATAGCCGCTATAGGCGCCATGGTCACCGGATCAGACACAGTCCGGCCGGACACAGTCCACACAGTCCACAGATTCCGGTCCGACCGGGCAACAAGTGGGTGTGTATTTGAATAAGGAGAACCCCCCACCGCTGGGAAAGTCAAAAACAAGATCCATGGATGCAACATGATGCAACTGGTGACATCACTTGAGCTTGATTGGGTTCAAGAATGTCACTTGAGACTTCATTCACTTGCCATTTGTCCATCTGACCTCCTCAGAACTAAACAGCTCACAGCAGTTCACCCTCTCAACTCACACATCGAACATTCTGCAGGATTGAAACATATCCAACCAAACTACACGTGAACCACCTTATCATTCAAAAAGCCTCGACTCACCCAGTCTCCTCCACTTTCTCCCACTCGCGCAGAAACACGCGCCGGCTGCAGAAACCACGCCGGTCGAAACGAACACGCCCCGCCCCTCGCCGCCCGGCGCCGCACCGGGCAAGTGAGCTCTTCGGACTCGCACACGCAGCCGGTGTCGGTGCCACAGGTCTGATTCCCCGACCAATGCCAGCCTCGCGACGTGCGACGCCCTGCGGCAGTCACAACAAAACGGTGGAAGTGATGAAGAAAAGGCATCTGGGATGGCACAGGGGATGATAGACTTTCATTGTCTTTTCCCTGTAGAGTCCTTGAACTTTTTGTTTGAAATATATATATATGCTGTTTAATGTTTGTCCCGCGGGGTTCTCGAGAACAACAGCCAATACCAGGAACTGAATCATAACATTTGCAAGGTGATCTCGCATTGTTTTTGCCTACACGTGGCGGGTGGCAAGTGATATCTGATGTCAGCATACACTTGGGAAGACAGGAGTCAGGCTGGAAAGCCACCTTTTGTATGCAACATGTGGCATCAGTCCAAAGCTCCTGCAGATACAATGCCGACGTCTGTAGATCCAATAGGTGCCAGGTATCTCGATTTGGGAGTCGGATCAAATTGAAGGAGATACTAAATCCCTGGAAGTCCAGTCGACCATGTTCAAAATGGTTGATCTGGTTTTGTAGTGTAAGATAGTAAGAACCCTTAGTAAAACAATGGCTGTTCGCGATTCAGGCTATTAAAACAGTGATTCGACTTCTAGAGGGTAACATCCAAGGAGTGGTTCGTGTGGCGAAGGAACAACGAGAGGGTCAACAAGGGTCAACATGTTCTGAAATTATTCGAATCACACACCACAACACCTGAGATTCCCGAGATATCGGAGCATGTTGGTGCGAACTCCATCAGTTAAGTCAAAAGTAAGTGAGGTTGTATGAGGACTATAGTCATCCAAGTTGCGCGTTGAATACGTTTTAAGTTAAAACACCCCAAAGTGCGGGAGAAAAACAACTCCCATGCAATGTAAAAGTTCCGCATCCTGCCCAGCAGCAGGTGGTCTTATCACCACAATCCACAGGGCAGCTCATGTAATGCGGGACACACCAGCTCCATTCACCTGCACTATAGAGGAGGGATAGAGCCTCGAGTCGCGTTTCTTTTTGTTCAAAAACATTGATGTTAAAACGACCTCTTCATAGCAGGGGGAGTTCCATAGCAGGGGGAGTTCAATTAATCAATACTGAACCTTCCACAACCATCGTCTTCCACCTTGGAGTCCCTGAAAACCAGGGACTAAGACCCATAGAAGATGAAGAACCCCAGGTTGGTGCAAAACCCAGGTTTGTGGAGTCCAAAGAAGAACCATAGGTTGGAGTCCCTGACACCCTGGAGGTTGGAGTCCCTCACATCACCGGGTGTATCGGAGATCGAATGGATGCGAGAGAAGTCTGGACGTGTAGTCCGTGTAGTGATCATCCATGAACTCACCGTGTTGACCCAAGCACTATTTCAAGAAGTAAATGGATTTAAATGAACCATACACACACAGAGAGAAAGCTTGATGCTAACAACTCCAAAGCATGTGAAGCTCCATCAAGACACTGCATGCAGCATCTATGAACAAATGCAATTGGCATTTGTTGGGCACCACAAACAGTTTGGCCATGGATTCTTTAGACACGGTCCATCTAAACCCTCTTTAAAACCTGGTTGGCCGTCATGTCAAAACCCTTCGCAAAAACCCTGAGCCGATGTCCAGGCCGATCCACCTCTACTGAAAAAAGCGTTCCGACCGTTCGGTTCCGATGGACGTCGACCCAGCCGGAGAGCCTAAGGATAGCCTAAGGGAGGTTCTCCCAAGATTGATTGTTGGTTGTTCTTGATCTGTGGGAAGAACCTGGAGTTCTACCGGTGCCATGACCCAGAGCCATGATTGACGTTCCTCGATCAGCGACGAGCGCAAAGGATCGTGCCCGGAGGATCGACTATGAACGAAGTACCGTTCGAAGCTCCTCTGGTACAGTAACTCTCGGTAGGCTTCGAATTTTGATAGGTCAAGAAAAGGCTCCTCCCAGATGCTGGTTGGACTGGTTAGACAAGCAATAAGTTTAAATACTGCTCCCATAGTTCCTCAAATAGCAATCTACAAAGACTCCTCCCAGAACCAGGTGCTGGCAATGCACCTTCGGTACAACGCTTCTCCCACTGTTGGTTGCAGGGGCATCCATCTTTGGCAGCCGCACAGGACTCCTATACGCACAAAAGCAGGACATCCTACGCAAATCCAATGGCTACGTTGAAATTTATTTGGTGATTGAGGGGCTGTTCCAAAGCTTTTCTGAGTTTGCACAAGCCTGCGAAGTACTTTTTCCGAGAGCGGTCATGCTGCATATAAATAAGGTCTCAAGGCAGTCTAAAGACTTCATCGACCCTCAGCTTCTATCTGACTGAAACTGTGTAATTAGTGTACTTTTGTGAGCTTTTCTGCGGGGAAGAATCTGCATGCAAAGTCCCCCGTAGCGACAGTATTCGATAGTGTTTGGAATTCCCATCCTCTCAAATTCCGCTGAAGAACACATGCAGCAGCGGACACAAATTTGGATCTTCGTTGTGTTGGTTAACCCAGCCTCGTCAAGAAAACAGACATAGCTGCTGACCGCCCGTCACGTCCGTCACAACGTCCGGCGTGATGCTTAGACCCGCACTCAGTGAGTGGAGGAACATCCCGTAGCCGAGTTCAGCACCGGCCGACGGCAGGCATCCCTTGATGTGTGCCTACAACATCGATAAAGATCTGTCCTGGTAAGGAGCAGACCAGTTTTCATAGCCGAACTCGTCGTAGGCGACGGCTGTGCAATAGATCCTTGAAGGAAAGGTGCTCGAGAGCGATTCTCTGGCGTTCAGGCTATGCTACTGGACTCTTTATTTTCCTGGATGTTACTCTCGGAGTCATGGACATGGAAGTGGAGTTCACCGCCTGTTTGGTAATGGTATTCAGAAAATGGTGATCCCAACTTGGGGCCATGCCATCCACTATACGCATGATGACTTCAGGGAGTGTAAGGTGGATGGACTTCGTGAGATCTGCAGTCACATCATGCAGAAGGTGGACGACAACAGCAAATATATGTACCTCCGAAAGCAAACCAGTCGTTTTGGAGTTGTTGTTTGGCCTGGACGGGTGTACTAAGTTACTAGCCATCCTCAGTTTGAAAAGAACACGTCGCCAAAACCTCTCATAATCCCTCAGCATCACGGCATTACCACCAGTTGGACAAAGCGGCGACAGGACGTCCCAGGTCCCGAACTTCGCTCCATAAGCATACCTTTTTGGACTCCATCAAACCATAGCGTCTATATACTTCCATCAGACCTGTGATCGACCTCCTGCCGATCAAACAAGGACCGAGCGACAAACGACAAGGACCGCGAGCTCTCCCCCAAAAATCCCAGGATTTGAAAGGCCAAATGACTGCGACCCCGACCTGAATCCATGATATCCTTGACTGGGAGGTTTACCGTTTGGGGCTCGGCTCAGGTTGGAATGTTTGGGGCTCGTGCTATGTGTAGCTTGTTGATCCCTCTTGGTGGTACGGATAACGGGGGGATCTTCTGGGGCCCATCCCCCTCTCTCTATGAATCAACCAACCAATAGTAGGGCATCTATGACGTATGACATGAACATGCTCAAATGACAGCGATGAGCTCCCGCAGCTCCCAAAGAAACCAGCACTATCCTGGATAGTCCACGTTTCAGCGTCCGCCTACGTGTGGATTACGTGTGGTGTCGTCACCCAACGAATTGGGTCTGGGTCCACCGTGAAAGGACAGGAACAAAAGCACCATCCCAAATCAAACATCCATTTACTCACTTCATCCAGGTTTCTTCAGTCTCGTGAAAAAGCAGATTGCAGTTATTTGCCACAAATGGTGCAAAAGCAAGCAGCAACAAACTACTTGGCTTTGGGTTACATTTTGGGTGAAAAGGTGACAGTAACTTCTCCAAGGTTCTCATCAGCCGCGCAAGAAATGGGGCATTGACCATAGTAGGTTGCTTGACAGTAGGTTCCCCAAGTCGTGTTGCACAGAACCTGGCGCGATCTGGTACAGAGCCATGAAACGATGAAGAAATGACGAAGACAAGGAAAAACATCTGAAAAGACTGGAGTGGAGGTGGGGAGCTTTTGTCAACTTGAGGATCCCCAGCCCCATCACTTGGGTGTCTAGAAGCCGAATTAAAAAGGCCTTATAAGTGCTCAATCAGATGCAAATCACCCTCCCAGGGGCATCAGTTCCGCATATAGCCTGGCAGTTAATGAATCCTCATCAAACACCAATGGCTCCTCGTCTCAAGCACGGCATCAAGTCCCCCAAAATGGAGTGGAAAGGGATCAAAACCTCAGGGTGCTTACAACCCCTTGTAATCCCTTGTGTAGTTGAGTAATGTCCGCAGTTCTCAAACTATCTCCCATTCTCAACAGATCCAAATCCTCCCTGTGATTTTTGATGATGCATAACCCAAAAGACTGAGCAAATATCTGCAGACTGGTAAACGTGTAAAGTTTAAAGTGCATGTCCAAAAAGCGGGCAACCAATCATATATATAGATAGATTAATGCCCACAACTCTCTCTCTCTATATATATATATAATATTGTTATAGTGCTCACAAACCTGCTGCGATTCGCTCTAGACCTGCCTTCGCCTTTCTTCCTCACTAAACTGACCGTGCGTCCTTTCTTTCCCGAACATTTCGAGACCTTGAACTTCTTGAAGCCTGTTGACACATGTTGACATGAAAAAAGAGCTGCATGCCACAGGGCAGTCAAGGGACGCAGGATGACCCCGGTTTGTCCAGCACTTTATGCAGTTGTTCCAGCAGTTGCAGGTCGATGGCCGTCTCAAACGATTTGGGACCTGGTGGTTCCGCCCCATGTCTTTACCCCTTAGCCCCAGCACCGCTCGAGCACCGCTCGGCGCCTCGTGCTGTGTGTTGCAGGGGCATGGCTCGCCCATCTTCACCCATGTCCTGAGATGTTCACGCGCCGGCCGCGGCCGCCGCGGCCGCGCTAGTCTCAGTCACCGATTGAAGAACATGCATCTTGCGCTGAGCAAAAGGAGCTGGTTTGCTGTTGGATGATGTGACATGTCGTTACTGGGTTAGTGGAGTGGAGCTCACCACCATGTTATTTGGTCTTCGGAACATGCTCAAGGACGCTCGGCTCCAAAGGGCCATCCATGAAGGATCCTGGGGAGTAAAGATCCATCGAAGGATCATCATGGATCCTTCAAAAAGGTCTCATCAGGCAGATGTGATTAGATGCAGCAACTGCACCCACACACCGGGCGCAGTAATAAAGTGCGGCCAATTGTCTCTAACTTTGTTGCAGCCAATTGGAGACTCAAATTGAAGACTCACACCCCACAGCCAATTAGAGAAGTGCTTCGGCCGTGTTGGTCCGTTCAAAACCCGGTTCTGCCCAGTCCAGCAAGTCCTCTTCATACCCCATTTGGCATGGGGTATCTTGTGTTTCTTGAAGAAGACTTGTGAACCCTCAGTCACACGAAAAAGAACCATTTCTACAGGTTCTTTTGGGGCGGAAGGGGGTTCTCACCTGTACCTGACAAGGTGAACTCTTGGTTCAGGTGCTCCTCTTGATGTTCTTTCATGTTCAACAACCTTGGAGCTCTTCAATCAACCATCCCCAAAAACCCACCGCCCCAACCAACATGTTGCCCAAAGGATCCCACTATGTCGGGACCGATTTGGATTCGTTTTACCACCACCCGAACTCCCACCACCGCGGGGTCCGCATTGGGACCGCACCGGGCGCTGTAAGGCGCGTCTATCCGAGCGCGTCTCAGCTCGCCGAGCGTCTGGTTTCCGGAGACCATCCAATTGGGCTCCCCGTTGTCGTAGTACGCGGTGCCGTAGCACAACTGCCGCAGTACGGACCGGTCGGACCGCCGTGTTGTTGGAGCTAGGACGAGTGGTACCAAATGGTGCAGAAGCCAGAGTGCCAGGACTGAAACTGGCCATATCTACTAGGGCCCCTGTTTGGGGAGGTTAATGGACATTCCTTAACTCTAAGGAACTATAATTTGACACCCCTAACAGGGGGCCCTGATGATTTGATACATCGCTTTAAGAACCTGCCAGGATTCTCAAAGAAACGGACCGATTCTACTTCTACACAAAAAAAAACAGTGCTTTCGTGCGCTCTGGGCGCTCTGGGCCCGGCAGCCGAGCATCCTGAGAATCCTTCACTGGATTGAACAGCACAAAGGTCATAAAACTCTTGGTCCCACCCACTGGTCGGTTGACCGGAACTGTTGATGTTCTTCATCGCTCGGAGCACATGGTGGACCGGACTGGTCGGGCTGGTCGGGTGTGTCACGACCCTTTTTCCCACTTCCCAATCACAGGTAGCTCCTGCTCATCGGCGGCACAGCTGATAGGGCACGGATCGGTCTTGGGCGTGCACCTCGCAGTTATTTTGTTTACTGAAACCGGCAAAAACCACAATTTGTGCCGGCAAAAGCAAAGTGATGCTGAAATCTCCAAGTCTTTCTGCGGTTCAAGGGGGGAAGGTGCAATGGCTCTGATGTCCAATGCGATGTGGTGACGTCTGTGGTGACTTGTGTGGTGTGATTCGATGGGAGGCAATTCATACGCTTCAACGGAAAGTCAGACAGTTCATCATTTTGAAACTTGCATGAACAAAGGTCGCCAAGTGGTGTTGATACTGAGAGTCTTTGGGTTGTCACCTGAGACAATGATATATATATATATAGTATATAGTATACAGAAACTGAAAAAGCAAGGTTGACTCAAAAGTTGGAAGATAACTTGAGAGAGGAGGGGGTGAACGAAAGGTAGCAGGCAATCACAAGCAACCCTGGTAGAAGTCCATGACGGCGTGAACCGGCGCAGGGGGGATTTGATCCAGGGGGGGGCCCCCCCCCGACGAACAGAATCAACTCTTACAGGACCAAACTCAATGCACAATCCCAACTCCTGATTGTAATACATTTTTGCTAAAGCAAGGAGAACTCAGGTAGCTCAAGCTACCTTTCGTGACTGGACTGGGCAACCCCGAAGTCAAGTCGAACCATGCTTTGTGCACATGCTACTTTTGTTTGCATGCTCCTTTAATTTGCCATTTGCCGTACATTGACATTGAGGTTGTTCAGTAGAGTAAGGCAACGGGCACTTTAGATTGGGGAGGATATAAGCCTCTGTATGCTTGAGTGTTGTTTCATCAAGTCTCAAGTCTCAAAGCTTTATATGGGCAATGGCCTCCAACCTAATAGCGATGGCCTCCAACCAAATGATAGCAATGGCCTCCCAAATGCTTCCATGGCACCATGAGTAGTTGTAGACGTTGTCCACGCACTTGTCCTCCCACTGCAGATCCTCGGCTCGATCACGGCCGTTGGCGGTTGAGTTGTTCTGTATTCATGTACACGTGACAAAACATATCGAAGTGGAACGGTTCGGCCCCTGAAAGAAGAATTTCCTCTACAAGGGGGTCCTGGTGAGGTTCCATACTTCTTGGAGGTAGGATCATAGAAGCTGAACTAGTTTCCTGAGACAAGTCAAACTTGTGATACCGTGGAGAACATCAAGTCTGGAGCATCACAGCTCCATCCAGCCACACCCCCGACTCGGTAGACTGCGGTAGACTCTCTCTCTATATACTGTATATAGTATATATATAAATTGCTTGAGCCCCATAACTCTTAACACGTGGGGCTTTTTTGGTGCATAATGGTGGTGCAAGGTGGTGGGCTCGATGGTGGTGCAAGATTTGGGAAACACTTAATAAGTTCCTCAGGCGGAGAAAGAAATGGCGCAGAATGGCGGAGCAGTGAGGAAATCAAGAAAACAAAGAGAAATCACACCTTTTGCTGCATCTTTTGGCACAAAAGACGCAGACCAACCCCAGGTCTTGTGGTAAATGTGGTAAATTGTTAAGTGGGTGTGCGCTTGAAAAACTGCTCACTGAGAATCCAGAGAAGCCGGAAGTTGAACAAAATCCATCCAGCAAAACGCAGAAGACCAACCACTTTTCCAAGCTAGGCTGGACGAAAGTCTTCTTGGTTGCACTTAGAGGACTTTCAAAGTACCCTCCCAGGAGGTGCATTGTACAGCCATTCCAACTCAGAAGAACTATACCCTGATCCAGAGTGTGCCAAAGTTGGCCACTCATCCCGCAAATGTTGTGGGAAGTTCGAAGAAGAACCCGATGCGTCTGTAGCATCGTCTTGATCATCATCATCACTCTGAGCAAGACCGCTTTGCGGCTCTTCAGTGACACAGGAACGAAACTCGGATCGAAGTGCAGTGGTCAATAGGACTGCAAGAAGGCATCCTCCAATCACCGGCATGGTCATCGCATTGCCTGAATCACTCACCACTCGACACAGCGGGAAAAATGAATTGAAAGAATTGAAAGAACACAAGAAAGAAACATCTGCACATCCGGCAACGCCAGGGTGCCACTGAGCAGGCTGAAAAAGGAACGCTTGTATCCGGAGAAGTGAATCTGGGAAACGTCAAAGCCTTGCCTCACAACATGCACCAAAGACACGACATTCACAATCGGGACCTTGAATGCATAGCATGTGCTTCAAAGTTTGAGGCATCATCTAAGACAATGGCAGGGCCATCATCTCTGCTGGATTCAAAAGCTTTTCATTCCTGAAATCGAATATTTTGCTGTTCGTGGTGAGCCTCAAGATTCACTACGAGAATTTTGCGAACTGAATCAGAATATGATTAAGCACCCGTTTAAAACCATGGCTCCATCAACTCAAAGGAACGTTGGGCTGAGACCATCAGACCGCCATGCTCTTCGCCCCAATGATTTCACCACATCCGTGACCACTCTTGATCGCTCAGCAATCTTAGCACGGCGCGGCCGACAATGTTCTCAAGAGTGGAACACCATTAGGCACTATAAAGTAAAGTAATATTCAATCACAGCGACTCAACGACGACCAACTTCCTGCGTTTTTTTGCAATCATGGTGCAGGCAACAAATGGTAGATGATATCCAGTTGCTCAATTTCTCTTCCATGTAGACCGCGCGGCCAAGTTGAATCTCTCTGCTTGCAAAGCAAAGTGAACCTGCACTCAATCATGCACAGTAGTGATAGTAGTTGTAACAGTAGTAGTTTAAGCTATCGCCGCTGTTAGCGACCCCAGAGGAAATCGCGTTTTTGAAAACTGCGGACATATTGATCGACGCGTTTTGCGTCACCCCGCATCAACCGCGAAGCATCAACTTCGTGACGCAAGTGCAAGCAAACGTTAACATGCCCCACCCCGAAAAAACACACACACACCCCACCCCACCCCACCCCACATCTACCACGAAGCATCAACTTCGTGATGCAAGCGCAAGCGAACGTTAACATGCCCCACCCCACCCCACCCCACATCTACCACGAAGCATCAACTTCGTGACGAAAGTGCAAGCGAACGTTAACATGCCCCACCCCACCCCACCCCACATCTACCACGAAGCATCAACTTCGCGACGCAAGTGCAAGCGAACGTTAACATGCCCCACCCCACCCCACCCCACCCCACATCTACCACGAAGCATCAACTTCGTGACGCAAGTGCAAGCGAATGTTAACATGCCCCACCCCACCCCACCCCACCCCACATCACCGAGGAAGCATCAACCTGACAGCACCATAGTTTCGGTGGAACAACCGAGGAAATTTGCTTGAGGCGTTGGCCCGAACGTGGCCGCAAGTGTAAAGAAAATACACCTGCAAAACGCGTGTGCGCCAAGAAAGAGTGCACTTTCTGCTCTTCCCCAATCTAAATTCCACCTTACAAGTGCTGACCCTTGTGAAAGATGGGATGAAAGCACATATGATCCAAACTCTCCCAAATGGAAAAATTAAAAAACCATGGGAGGTTTTGAGCACTGTCCACTTTGGCAATGTGCGAATCGCACAGGGTCACTATTAGCGGCGGTACCTAGTTTGAGTAGCCGCAGTGGTAGTGGTAGTGGTAGTGACAGTAGCGCTAGTGATAGTTTCTAACGGTGGAAACCCTCTTGCAGTTTTGCCAAGCTTCGCTCTGTATTCTTCGTAGCTTGAAGTGTCCATCCCAAGATCTGCCTTGGCCTTGTCAAAGGATTCGCGCGTTTTACCTCCAACAACATCACTTTGGTCCTCAGCAACACTAAAGAGACGAGAAATCACACATCGCTCATCACCACCGCCACCACTGCACATCTGGTGACCTGAATGAACACGTCGACCAATTACTTAGCAGCGGCAGGTACTGGGAGGCAGCCATAAGCGCTTTTTCTGATCTTGTCTGAGAGACCTGGGATTGCTGTCCCAGGCCTGGGTTTATGCGCAATGCACAGGAACTAAGTGCCAGCCGGAATCACCAATTCGAGTTTCATGAACATGGCAGGGAAACAACAGCAGCACTGAAGTTCTCGCCTGTGATATGTGGGCTCGCAAACAAGAATACAGGCAATTAGTAGGCGGCAACTCCGAGCGCTGGGGACCTAAAAGGATTGAGATACCAACTATACCCAACTTAAGAGCGCGGTTCTTCCTGCCACGGCAAAAGGGCAGAAACTGCGCACCATCTCAAAAGCTGGCATATCGAGGCACTAGTTTTCTCAAATTCTGAATACGTGTGTGGTAGCATGCAATGTTGACATGCTTGGTCGGCAGCCTTACACACACCTCACACCACATCCAGAATCTGGCGTCACTTGCCACCCTTGCTGTCGGCAGTGTTGGAGGCCTTTGCATCTTTGCACTCCTGTATGCACGACGCGTTAGTATGTGACACGCCAACAGGACTGTTTGTATAGCTTCATTTCCCTTTAAAATTTCGAACCCAGCTCCTTCTCACCCAAGCCCAAGAAGCTTTTAAGGTCAAACAGAGTCAGCTGTCGTTTTTGCTTCTTCACCACCCGCCGGTTGCTGCGGCGACCGCCAGGACAACACGCACGCTTCCGAAAGACAAAGGCTTTAATGTCAAACAAAGTGAGCTGTCGTTTTGGCTTCTCCAGCTTCACTTCTTCCCGGTTGCGGCAAGAGCCAGGACGACGCACACGCTTCCGAAAGACAAAGGCTTTAAGGTCAAACAAAGTGAGCTGTCCAACATCAGGAGGCTGCAAAAAGGGATTTGGATCACTGTGCCCCGTTCGCTTCTTCACCCCTTCCCCTCTGAAGCCACGAGGAACAGGACAGTTTCCCTGCCCAGCTGAGTAAAACCCGACGCCCACATGAAACTCTATGTGAAGTGCACAGCTTCGTTGTACAGTTTTAGGTTCTAGTTCTACCAAAAAGCATATCATATGAATGAATGCTATAAACCGCACACCGTCGCATACTGCTCTACTGGCTCTACTGTTCTACACTTCTCCACCCGTTCTACCCTGAACCCTGTGTCCTTGCCCAGCTTTTCCAGGGCAGCAATGACCAGTGGATGGATGCTTTTCTTCTGGACCTTGAGGACGTTTTGCATGAACTGTCCCAACAACTTGAGATCAGCCAGCATCGTTGCAGGTGGACAACCCTTGCGAAGAAGCAGCTCAGCGGCCATGCCCGTATACACCCCGACTCCGACCTGTGCTGCAGATGGCTCCTGCGCCATCGATGACTCCAGCAGAGAGAACTTGTTGTCCTTGATAATGTCAGCATCTTTGGAAAGGTCATCCTTCCAACCAAGGAAAGCATTTCCAAGAGCTTCGGCACCCTGAAGTGCTGGGAGTCCTCAACAGGGTTCTGAGGATTCTGCAAAAGCTAGCTGGGCGCCACGCTTTTAAACACAACCCCTTTCACTCCACCATTTTTTGACACCCATGGACCGGTGTCCTTCTTTCAACACATGCTCTAGTCTTTCCTGATCTTTGTTCAGCTCATCCACTGCAGTGACCACAGACGGCGCAGAAAGCCACTCAGAGCCCTTTTCACCGTTGACCTCTTGAACAATCTTTCGCATCTTCTCATAGACGGACACAAACATGGCCTTGTTCTGGTTGACTTTGGATCCAATTTCATGCGCTTCTTTTGTCAGCTTCTGACAAAGAGTCTCCCTTGCCTTCTTGTAGTTCTTGATCTGCTCCAAAATGTCAGTGACCGACGCCAAAGAGGAGAGGTCCAAGTAAGCCAAAACTCCTGCGTTGACCATGCCCTTGTCAGACCAGGGCTCCGCAAAGTACGCAGGCGTCTTGCCGTCCTCAGACTCAAAGTCCTGCACAACCTTGATCGCTCTAAGTTGCCGTTCGACTTGTGGCCCCAGGAAGGCTCGTACAGAAGTCTCTAGTTTGAGAAGAGCATCTTTTTGGCCGTTCACGATCAAAGCCTTGGACCACATGGGCGGCTTGTCATCCAACAGAAGTGGCAGCTTTTGCAGCCGCCCCACAAGCAAGATGAAGGATTCTGGCAAGAGCGCGCCAGTGGACTTGCCTGAGCAGAGAGCTGATACAAAGAAATTGATTGGCTCTAAGTTTCTTATGTTCAGCGGTTTGCGTTGGTTGGAACTAAGTTGGGCGCTGGATGAAATGAAGTCGTTCACAGGCATCCAGACTCTGTCACCCTTCAACTGGCTCATCAGCCGGCAGGCCTCCACAAAGGTCTGAACTGTCAGAGACTCCTCACACTCTTTCACCTTGCTCAAAAGAGTGACTGCGTCAAACACAGCAGATGAGACGACCGTGGCCACATTCTCGAGGATCAGGTTCCAAGTATCCACCTCCGTGTTATAACATGAACTCTGAGTCTGAGGTCTTAAAAACAGCTGTAAATTCAACACAACGTATAAAACGCAAACAAAAAAGGCGGAGAAGACAGTCGAGTCGGGGTCGTAAACAATGTAAACACGCAATTGTTGCTCTTTTTGCCAGGCTTGCCACGGGCCTGGAATTCTTTCAAAAGTTTCCACAGAGACAGGAACCATGTCTTGTCGATGAAGGTCTTGGCATGAAATTCACACTGATGATCACCCTTCGCAAAGATATCAGAGACAGTCTCGACAGTTTTCACTGCAAACGTGTCCACCATCTCACCTGCCAGGCCCACCTCTCGCTTCAGTTTGTCCACATGAGTGTTGGGCTCTGCTTGAGAATCGGAAACACTCTGCTCGTCAGTCTTTCGATCCAAGTACTTGGCCAAGGCAATCTTCTCACACATGTCTTTCTTGCCACAAATCTGGGCGAACTCATACGATGTGCTGGCAGACCTTGCAGCATCAATCTCCGTTGTCGGAAAATTGGACATGAGCGCCCTGCACTTCTCAATGACATCGCTGATGGTGACCACCTGCTTCGAAGCTGCTGTCATTCGAGCCCACCATGTCCTGAACATAATCATTTGATGAATCACAATACAACAACACCAGACATGACACAAAATAAGCCATTTTCGGAACCCATGCAGCCTACGCAGCTCATGTGTAAATTGCCAATTGACGAACAAACGCATCAACTGCAAGAGCTTGAAGCACATGTGACGCATGTGCAGCCTAGGTTCTTGAGCAAACCTGTTTTGATGAACGACTGCATTTTGGAACCCAGCAAGTTCTTCTTCGCAACGACCAAGCTTGCACTGAAATTGTCCTTCGGCGAGCCTCCACTTCCATCCTACCAGGGCGACGTGCCCACCCACCCACCCGGCGCTCAGCAGGTCACAAGTGCGACTGTCCAAACACGTGAATCCTTTTCCATCCATGCACCACTCACTGGTCCAGCCATCCTTCGAGGCACGGCCGGGCACAATAATATCCGGATCTGTATCAATATTTTCAGAAACAGTCAATATCTTGGGGCACCTACTAGTTACTTGTAGCAGACTGTTCAACTTTTCCGAGTGAATCAACCATCATGAGGATGGGGACTTCTTGCTCAAGCAAACGACGTCTTGGAAAGGCTACTTCAACCTAGCAGGCACGCAACGGCCCACAATTGCAACATTTGGTCTTTCAACATCACCACCCGCAAAACATACCCAACCAGTACTTCGTCATGAACCTGCACACTTGATGAACCCAGGAAGGTTACCAACGATTTTGGACGCAGGGACCTCACTGGTCATCTGGCCACACCTCACCCTGGGGTTTAGAGTCCGAATAGACACTTCTATTTTTTGTAACAATGGAGAAGGACTATATAAGTGTGACAAACCTGATCTAACTATCAAGCTGAACACAACAAGATATTGACATTCTCAACATTACCTCCAGCCCTCAACGTACTCAGCCCTTCAACTCCCCACTCGCAACACGCTGGTTGTGCCCGAATTACGCCAAGTAAGACCTTTGGAAAAAAACACCCCGTCAACGCGTCAACGCTCTCAGCCCTTCGACTCCCTCGAATCCCTCCACTCCCAACATGCTGCCCCAACCCCTCCAAACAAGAGATTGGTGATTGGCAATTGGTGTTGCTCATCTAGTGAGGTTTCAATGGCTGTGGTATGAGCCACGCAACTCCACTCAAACCACTGATTGTATGGTTGTAGACGGTGACCCCTATGCTTTTCATTTCAGGTAGTGGGGAGCTAAGGCGGCAGATACACTGTGGTTGTGTTTTGCCAACACAGTGGGATTCACTGCAACGCCTCTTGGAAACCAACCCAAGCAACACATCTTTACTTCCTCAAGATTGTGTTCAGCCCTCAACGCTCTCGGCCCTTCAACCCCCTTGACTCCCTTCACTCCCAGCACACTGTCCATCGTTTCCAATGGCAAACACTTGGTCGACTAACAGCTGTGTCCCCACAAATAGAATCTGTCAAGTGTCCGATGATCCGATGTCGATAACGGCGACGAAGAGACCCCAGGTTGATACAATCATGAACATGACTCTGACCACCTGCCCGTTCATCAACCCAGGAAGGTTTACCCACGAAGAGAAAAAGCTGCGGCAGGTGTGCTCCCATATCAAATAGAACAGTCAACCATTCGATGATCTGATGCGTCGACAGCGTCTAAGAGACCCGCTCCAAAGGCCCCAGAAGCAACAAAGTACAACAAAGTCTTCCCTGGAGCAAGGAGTAAAGCAACAGGGTCACTCCTGGCTCCCTGGAGCACTGCTACTGAAAAGAATGCGGCCTATGGGCGCCGAACAGCCGCTACCCTGTACAATTCAATTCTGGTTGGGTGGTTTCTCCTCCCTTCCGTCCCTCCTTCCCTTGTCCGGGTTGAGGGC